CATTTGGTTTCCAAATCTCTCCATACCACCCTACTTATACATTTATATCCTTGGTTATCTTTGGTCAGTGATGAATTTTTACATTGAGTTTTATCTGTTAAACGTATAACTCAAATGCAGAAAAATACAAATAAACTTCTAGATAACTAATACTCCCAATAAAAATGATTTTATTTGTCAAAAAAGGACAAACCACAAGAAAAGTCTTGCACAAGAGATTTATTTATAAATGATTACAATTTCTATACTTACTGTAAAAATCAATAACAGGGAAATAACGTGGGTCAGGAGATATGTTACTCACTCATTCATAGCATTGATGTTTCCATAAAAAAAAAAGACTAAGGAACTTCAAAATTGTGTATGACAAAAAAAAAATTGTCAGTTACATTCATAGACTTTACCAGGTAGATGATAAGCATAAAAATTTGAAGATTTTTTATAAGCAGGTTAAAATAAAACACACTGTTGAAAAAGTAAACTGAAAAAAAAATTTACTAAGTAATCATCTATTCAGGTAATTTATATTCCTTATACCCAGATTTTTCATGAAATTGTCTGTCAGAATAATAGATGAATTGTAATTAGGACCGAGACTGCAGAAGAATGGAAAACAAAAGAGAAGCTGACTTGCAATTCCACCACAGTCTCTCTCTCTCTCTCTCTGTTTTTTTTGATGGAGTCTCACTTCATCACCCAGGCTGGAGGTGCCGCAGTGCAGTCACAATCTCGGCTCACTGCAACCTCCACCTCCTGAGTTCAAGTCATTCTCTTGTCTCAGCCTCCTGAGTAGCTGGGATTACAGGTGCCTACCACCATACCTGGCTAATTTTTTATTTTTAGTAGAGACAGGGTTTCACCATGTTGCTAGTCTCAAACTCCTGACCTCAAGTGATCCACATGCCTGGGCCTCTCAAAGTACTGGGATTATAGGCTTAAGTCGCTGCACCTGGACCATAGTCTCATTGTTATTACATTCAAATGATGGTGCTTAACTAGATATACTTAGTATTTTTTTAGGTTTTACCATTTTGGAAATGAAGTCTTTAATTAAACAACTGAAAAGCAGAAGAAAAAAACAGTGTATGTGAAAGGGAATTTTGGCTGTTATGTTTATGTTTGTGTGTCAACTTGATTCAACCCTTTGGAGCCCAGATAACTAGTTGAATATTATTCTGGATATGTCTGTGAGGGTGTTTTTGAATGAGAGTAACATTTGAATTTGTAAACTGAGTAAAAGAAATTGCCCTCCCCAATAGGGATGGGCCTCAACTAATCAAGGAAAGGCCTGAATGGAACAAAAAGGCTGACCTTTCCGTTTATAAAAGGGAATTCTTTCTCCTAACTGCCTTGAGTTGGGACATCAGTTTCTTTCTTTTGATCCAAACTGAAGCATCAGCTCACCAGTCCTCAGCTTGCTGTCTTTCAGTATGAAATGATACCATTTTCTTTCCTGGTCCTCAGGCTTTCAGACTTGTTGTACTGGAAGTATACCATCAGCCCTCCTTGATCCCCAACTTGCTGACTGCAGATATGACCTCTGAGCCTTTGTAATCATTTGAGCCAATTCTTATGAATGAGCCAGTCATATGTAAATATGTATCTGCAAATGTATATATCCACACACATATATCCTATCAGCTCTTTTTCTCTGGAGAATCCTGACTAACACAGCGACCATTTAAAAATGTCTTTTGTTTTTCCAATTATGTATGATAATCTTCTATGGTGCTTTATTAAATATATTATCTTCATAGATATTCTTTATAAAAATGTACCTGTTCTCTAGATAAATTATATGCTTCTGTGTATATATGAGCAGGTGTTAACATATATATTTATAAGGGTATAAAACAGCCTCATACAAAGTAGTCAATATTTTTTGAGTATTCACTTATTTTTCTTTTCAAACCAACTTTGAGGCCCGGCGCGGTGGCTCAAACCTGTAATCCCAGCACTTTGGGAGGCCGAGGCGGATGGATCACGAGGTCAAGAGATCGAGACCAACCTGGTCAACATGGTGAAACCCCGTCTCTACTAAAAATACAAAAAATTAGCTGGGCATGGTGGCG